AAGAACATTAGGCAGATATCTGTTCAAACGTTGGATCGGTTGAACAACACGTAATGTAAAAGAATATTACGTAAGAACATCTTGAATGGTTATTTTCCGCCTTACGCCGCAATTGTTTAGAAAGTTCCGTTGTTAATATTATTATTATTATTAAGTTATTTTTGCAACTCTTATCGGCAGCTTATTTTGATCATGTGACGACAATCACCATAGTCATATTAAATGATCATTACGGTTAGCGTGGTCAGTATCATTCCCGTGATTATGGGCATTAGCAGGAAGTTCTTTTCGAACTGATTCTAATAGCACAACCAAAAGATGATCGATTCTACAGTTATGATAACCATGGTTATCGTAATAATAACATTAGTCATTGCCATCATGGTGGTGAAGACAGAAAGATGATAATGGTCATGATGGTTTTGATCGTAGTGGCCAACGTAATGATTCGCATCACTCTTTGTTATGATCGTGCTGCAATAAACGTAGCAGGTTCTCTTTAATGGGATTGACTGATCAAAAAAGCAGTGATCGATGGTCATGATGAACGTCATGACCGTTCCCACAAAAATAATCATCATGGGGATGATTTCGCAGTTTTTCCGTACCAGGGTCGACAGCCGTGATATCTATGTATGAACTTGAATTGACGTTGTGTATGAACAAAATTTTTCCATGTTTGGTTAAATACAGTATGCACACCCTGAGTGTTTGTTAATAGAAACTTAGTTTAATATTCTTTAATCCCAGGCCTTACTTTCTTACCTTTGTCGGCCTATGATTCATTTGTGTTGGAGTCGATCGCATTATATGTGAGTGCTTGTCTTGTATGTTCGTTTACATACCCGTTTCTAAATGGTGAACAATCCACAATAATGTTTAGGTTAGAGTACGATGCTTATCGATCAGATCTGACGTCACTACAGCAGGGCGAACGTACCCAAATGACCTTGGCGAAGATGGCAGAAATTGAGAAAGAAGTGGAGGCGAAACAAGACCGCTATGAACGGTATCGCGAAGAAGTTGCCGTTAAGTTGAATTTCCTGTCAGAGAACAAGGTATCTGCCGCTTCTGTACGGTTTCGGCGTCTAAACCAAATATTCAACCTTTTCTTAGGTCAAAGTAATGCAAAAGCAGCTGACGCTGTTTCAGCAGTCGACGTCAGCCTATTTCGCAGGGAACAAGGCTGCCTTAGAGTCGACCATAAAACAGTTCGCTGTTCCCCGAGACTCTAGCAACCACTCGCTTTTGTCCGGCTGAAGTGCATCGCTGCCAGCGTTCGCTCGGCCTTACTTTACTGGATGTTATTTTTTATGGGTTTTGTTGGTTGCATCTTCTAGTCAGTGTTGTTGTTGATTTACCCGGGGCTTTGAGAACATTCCTGTGATGATCTGCTTTCCTAATTTATTTTTCAGAATAACCTGAAGTAAAACTTTTCACACATGTAACATTGTCGTTGTAGTTCGTCTGTACGCTGGATCATTACAGTTCTATTCGTTGTTTCTCCAACAATCTTCTTTTTCAGAATTTGATCACAGTTAACATTGTTGAAGATGATGGTTCCTAGGTAATAAATAATCAAACGGTGTATTAACTATTCTGATGAGAAGTTGAACAATAAACATATTATTGTAGAATCGCGGACGCTAAATCTGTCCTGCAGAAGGATTGCCTGTAGTATGAGACCCTACCGATCAAAAGCTTTGTAATATTGATGAACAAGAAACATATTATTATAAAGTTATTAACAGTGGAAAAGTCAGTGAATGCGCCACACTGCAAATATATAATTTCTTTGTTCGCACAATTAGCGTCTGCTTATTCATTCTGCGATGAGTGCAGATTACATTCGCGGGATCACAATACTGCATAGATGATAGAAAACTGGCTTTATACTAACCACAGTGTCCCTTGACAATAAAATTTGGTCCTTTAATCCCACTTCATTTTCTTTCTTACCCCTCTAGGACTAAATTCAGTTAATCTTACGGTCGTTGGAGCAGTCGCATTCGCGTGTTGAACGTAAAATAAACAACAGACCCTTTCGATTGCTCAGTTATGGTGGCGTGTTAAGGGCTGACACAACCTACATCCATAAAAGACTTGAACATCCATAAAGGAAATAGGTACCGCAAAAAATGTATTACAACTTTCTATGGGCATTGGCTCTGAAACAATTTAGAAATGTCGACTAGACTAGAAACTGAACATGGCCACCAGCCAACCCACTGTACTAAGTAATTTGGTATTGGTGGTCTACTAGTGACTCTACATCAAGGAAATAAAGGAAAGAAAAAACATTCTTGAACAAATACAGCATATGGGAAGTGTACTGTTCCCCGGAGAAGCTTGCATACATTCCGTAAGGAAGGGTTCTTACCACAGCAAGACGCCATGCGTGGCTTATCACATAATTTACAGTTTTCGGATGATATTACGGAAACTGGTTAGAAGCTCACAACAGTATATAGGAAACGCGCCTTGTAGAGAACGGCAGGTAAGATTTAGCGGGGCCGAAAGACAGCATCATGAAACTACGAAATTCGTCAGCAAGGTAATTCAAATTACAGTGGTTAGCATAACCAATTGCTCAACCATTTTCTTATTTAATAGTTCTAAGTAAACCTTCCTTCATGTTACTAATCACAACCATTTCTGTTAACCTCTCAAATTCAACCCAAAAACTGAATTTTTAATTCATAAGGAGCATCATCTAAACGGTAGACTGATGTACTCTGCAGGTGATGATTATCCACCAGGAACACACGTTCGTTGAGGAGCTCGGGATAGGATAGTAATCGCGCGTTAATAAATCTATATTTAAATAATAAATTAAAATATGTATTTATTTATTTCATATTAATTAAAAAGCCTACTTTGAACCAGTACTTCGTTCATCCT